TTTAATAAGGTAAATTGTTTAATGTTAAAAGTTCAAGCTTTTGGGTTAGGAAAGTTTCCACTAACGCTTGCTAAGAACTTGGTCCTATCTCCTGTATGTTTTAAGGTAGTGTTGTTTGTGGTGGGTGGGATATTTTTACCCTTAAAAATTCAACCTTGTTCAGTGCTTGGGGTGGACAGATGAAGGGGTGGTGGGCAGAGTAGCTCAGCAGACCAAGCAGTTTGCTGCTGCTGATGTCGGGTGGGTTCTGCTACTCCTCATTGCCTGCTCTTGGTGATCTCCATGCTCTAGTTCCTGTCTGACAATGCTGTGAACCAATCCTGTTCACTAATGTAGCAGCAAAGTGAATACTTTTCTGCTGAGCTGCTAAGTTAAGTCTATTTTTCTGTGCCATCAGATGAGCATAAGCAGTCAGTACCGAAAGTGGTGTAGGACAATGTGCCAGGAGCAGTGGCAGGGGAAAGTGGGGAGTTGGACTCTACCCGTCTGTGGTGATGAACTCTTAGATTGCTCAGCTGGATCATATATCCACATTTGAAGACCAAACAAATAATTATGAATTTAACTTTTTTCCAGTCTTTCAGTATTCAATTTAATATTATAATATAAATGTAATTTTCTCTACAAAATACAGTGTCTGAAGTACCTAAAAATTTTCCCTGAGTATGTCACTTGCTGCCAGTGTGAAAATAAAGTAGAGCTCTTGACAGAATTTGTCTTGTCTATGCAGTAGCATAAGCCTGTGTGAATTTGAAAAAGGCTCAAAACAACTGATTAGTTTTTGAAGCCATGTTATCTTTCAGTTCTGCTTGCAGTGCTTTTAGAGAGCTAAGTTTTACTCTTGTTGGTATGTAATTTTTTTTTTTGAAGTCTTCAATTCTAGTAATGAAAAAAATCCCATTTGGTATTCCTTTTCTCTTCTGACTTCCGTGTTTCAAGGCTTTTTTCCTTTCCAGTGGCATCAGTAGCTCAGACCCTTGAAGAAGAGATTCATATTTTGTCTCCCAAGGGTAGACACTCCTCATCTTGATTTTGCTCCTGCTCTTCCCAGTTGCAACGAGCAGTTCAGGAGTCTCTGCTCTCTCCCATCGTAGATCTTCTGGTTTTTTTTTTTTGTTATACAGCCTTTTGTTCCTTCAGTGATTGTTGCTTTCTTGGTTTCCAGGTGTTTCACAATTAAAAATGGCCTCAGTTCTATCCTTTTTGGTATATAGAGATCCAAAAAGTTCTGTGGAAGAGAAGAGAGTTGTGTTCAGACATGAGAGGCTGCTAGCAAATATTTATTTGGTTCCAAATTGTGTGCACCATTTTTGCAACTTCTCATGATTTGAGAAGGCATGTACTGGTGAACTTTAATACTTGATAAATCTGTAAATGGCATAACCCTTGTAGTCTGTGATCAAAAGTAAAAACAGTCTGTATTATTAAAATACTTGTTTTTAAAGCTTGAACAGAAAATTCCTCTTCAAGCTGGAAGGAAGGTTGTGTTGGATACCAGGAAGAAAAAATTATTTTTATCCTGTGGTTAAGAGCTTTTTTCTCCCCTTCGGAAGGTTGCATGGAGATGATATGAAAACAAGCACAGAGAGTGATAAATGTTCTTTGCTTTAAAAATGTCTTAGTGTAATCCCTCTTAAGGTTTTGAGTACTTGTGTAGGTGTATACCAAGTTAACCAAAACGTATTTCTACAATTGGTTTTCAATGCAAACCTTTTTGAGATACGTTTATGTGAACTTTGCATAATTTGACACTGATTTACGTTCCATCTATCTGATTTTAATTGTGTATGTTACTTTTTTTCCCCTCTTGTTTCTGTCTGAAAAGCACCACTGCTTTTGAGATCATGGCTTTGCTATTTTGAGTGCTGTTTACTGATGATTAGAATAGACTAGACTATTTCAGTTGGAAGGGACCTACAACGATCACCCAGTCCAACTGTCTGACTGCTTCAGGGCTGACCAAAACTTAAAGCATGTTGTTAAAGGCATTGTCCAAATATCTCTTAAACACTGACAGGCTTGGGGCATCGACCACCTCTCTAGGAAGCCTGTTTTGTAGTTTTGTAACCTTGAAAATAGTGTGTGGCTTTTGTCTGGTGGTGGGTGTGTGGTTGTGTGTTTGTATTTTTTGTGCATAGCTGCATCTGTGAAATACACTGAATGATGGATTAAAAAACAGCCACGACATATTACAGAAGGAGTCAAATGAAATTGGTTGTTAGTCAGTAAAACTTCTTGGAAGATACAAAGGCAGGGCATGGGACAGACTGAAAGGGGCAATCAAATAATCTTCCTTCTCATAATGTGGAAATGGAAGTCAACAATTTTTGAGGTAACTTTTCACAGATACAGATTCATACCCATCTTTTATGTAAATACTTTACATTTCAACTAGTAATAATGGAATGTAATTTAATAGCTGGATGTTCAATAAGGATGTATAGATGCTGATCTTCAATCTTATTAAGGTTTTCTTTGGTGATTATAGACATGCTGAAGTATGAGAGTGCAATTTGGCTCTTGTCATAGTAAAGAGCTTCTTGCTTTAAACTTAGAAGTTGTTGTATTTGTTGCCAGTTACATTACTGCTGATTGTACCCCAATGAATATAAATTTCTGTTCTTTCCCTGCCATACACCAAGTCCCAGATCTGAGTGACTAATCCCTGCAAAATCTGAGCTCCATTTGAGAACGAGTGAAGTGAGTTGACAGGTAACCCCTGCTTTCTCCTGCCTCACCTTGCTGCAGCATTCAGTGCTATAATTCCGTATTTTCTATATTCAAACTAATAGAATATCAGGAAATGTTTGACTTCTTTATGATGATACCCATCAGTATAGCAATGAATTTTCATGTTTAGAGTGAAATTTAAAAATGGTAAGTTAAAGCATTTTTAAGAGTTTGAAATACCTGTAGACTCTTGGATGATCTCTAGTTGTGTATTCCTGCAGTCAGGAGGAAGGAAAAAATTGTCTATTCTGTAGTCTGCATTTTGAGGTTTGGATTGAGATTTCTAAGCCTGTAATATGGAACTTCCCACTGTCATAAACAGTTTCTTTGGTTTTATCCACCCCCCCAATGGAACTGGTGCTGTAATGACACCAGTACAATACCCCAGAATGTGAGCAGTATGTCATTTTTGTCAGGTGATGGCATTTCACTTAAGTACCCTGACACCCTCAATGAACTGTTTTCAGGACTGCTCTGTGGTTGAGGTACTTGGTTGTACACGTGTTGCTGCTCTTTCTGACCTTTCCATGCCCACTAGATGTAAAGACCCGTATGGCAGAAGGAAGAGGTTAACAAAGAAGTGGTGAATATTGCATCTACCAGATGAAGCGGTCGTGTTGCAGAGGCCCATGCTGGTTTTACATTAAATTTAGTCTAATGAAAGGACAGATTTTCATGAGGATACTGTGCCTTTTGGCGGTTGAACTTCGTTAGCTAAAAGTGAAATTGTGCGCATACGGTATGCTATGTTAAATCTGATATAGAGTGAAGGGAGTCTTTGTAGCTCTTAACTGTGTGGATTAGGTTAAGAAATCCTAGAGCCCACTTCCTTGTTTGGGGTAGGTAAGAAACGAGTGATGTCGAGGCACTTCTTCCCTCCTACAAGATGAGAAAATAGAAACTGGAGAACTAACTAGCTTGCCAGCCTCCACTTCAGAAATCCTGGAGGTATGTAGCTGCTGTCACAAACCTGAAGTGCCTCAGAGGCAAGTGTCTTAATTGTTCTCCTTTCCAGTATCTGCACCTTCCATATCCAAAATCTGCAAGAATGTGTGGTTCCATGCACCAAGAGTTGTGTGTTTTTTCTAGTTGTTTTTTTTTTTTTTCAGGACTCTTGTGAATTACTTGGGCTGAGGATTGCAAGCTGAAAATAGTCTACTACATCATAGTAGTAGAGACTGGCTAACTTAACTCTTGTGGATTTGAGATTACTTTAGAAATTGTGTATGTCATTACAAGACTAAAATTCTAAACTTCTTTCTGAACCTGCTGATCTTGAATTGCTTGTTGTGAATATAATTTTGCGCTGTAACATGCCCAGTAATTTGACTTACCAAATCATGAAATGATTTCAACTTCTAGACCTCAGGGCAGTGTAGTGAGAGAAGTTCTTTTGGCTGCCATGTTCTATTACTTGTAAAAAAAACCCCAACCCCAAAGCACTTGAACAAAAACCCTTTAAAACAAGGGAGAGAGAATGTTTGCCTTGGGAATCACTCGAACACCTTATCCCCAAATGAGTACTTTTTGGCTTTAGGCCATTACAGTTTGTTTTCAGTTCAGCTTGCATATTATATAAACTTAGAATGAGTTCCTGTTTTGTGATGTTTTGGGTTTTGGTGTTTGGTTGTTTGGGGCTTTTTTTAATGTAATTTTTTTCTTTAGTTTTTCTTTATTTTGTTTAAATTAGTACTTTTTTAGGAATTATGGGGTCAGTTTTTAGATGTTTCCACATGTATTTCCTTAAAGTTTATTTAGTTCTGCAAAAGTAACCATGTGAAGCTGTCTGACAAGGTAGGTTCTGGCAGTGGCATCTTGTGAACAGCTTGCTGATGATAGTTAATAGTCACTGACAGTTTGTAAACCCCATGTTTGTCAACATTTGTTGACAACTGTCATAGAATGTCTCTGAACTTTCTGGTATAGTAATTGCTGATGACCGGTTAAAGGTAAAGAGTGTGATTAAGGATTGCGACTCATCATGAAAGCAGCTTTGGGAAACTTGCATAGTGG